TTTCTCCTTCACAGATGCTGCCAGACCTGCTGAGCTTTTCCAGCAACTTTGTTTTTGTAGCAAAGTAAATGTGTTGCTCAAAAATTGGTATGAAAGAGATGGGTACCAATTTATGGGCATTAGCAACAGTACTGGTGAAAGAGAGAGCTGTTCTGTTGCAATGGGCTTCGATTAAAACAAACTCACATCAACGTCTTGCAAATCAAATGTCTCAGGCTAAACATTTAAAGTGACAGTAGGTAGATTTTAGTAATATTAAAAAGCTGAGGACAATGGGGAACTGAGGAAGGGTCACAACCCGAAACATTAACTCTGCTTTCTCTCCACAGAAGCTACTAGACCTGCTCGGTTTTTCCAGCAATTTTTGTCTTTTTTACATAATCATACATTGGCTTTATTAATTAGATGTTGGAATGTTGCTGGTGTAACTGGGGTAGAGGGTCTCAGTGTAACTGGAACGGATAATCTCAGTTTAACTGGAGCAGACGGTCTCAGTGTAACCAAAATGTCAGTGCAACTGGAACGGATAATCAAGAATCATAAAATCATAGAATCCCTACAGTGTGGAAACAGGCCCTTCGGCCCAACAAGTCCATACCAACCCTCAGAGCATCCCACCCAGACCCATCCCCCTGTCACCCACCTAATCTACACATCTACACTATGGGCAATTTAGCATGGCCAATCCACCTAGTCTGAACATCTTTGGACTGTGGGAGGAAACCGGAGCACCTGAAGAAAGCCCACACAGACACGGGGAGAACATGCAAACTCCACACATACAGTCACCTGAGGGTGGAATTAAACCCGGGTCCCTGACGCTGTGAGGCAGCAGTGCTAACCACTGAGCCACCGTGCCATGAAACTGGGGTGAAAGCAAAATTTCAAACTCTGATTTTAAAACGAACTCCAACATTTGGTTATTTGAAATCCAAAGTTTAACAACTGCATTTTGAGTTCTGTTCCACCCAAGCCCATGATTGTTGGAATTCCACTTGGTGCTGTCTCAATGAAAAATTCATTTAATGTCGAGCCAGTTGTTGTTGTAATTGCTGTAGAATAATTGCACTTTAACACTGAATGTTCTGAAACTGGCACGCAAACTAGCCAACAGAGATTTTTGGTCCAGTGGGTTACTCATTCTTTCACCTTTGACGTAACATTGATGCATGAAACTATACTCCTTTGCGATTACATGTGGAATAGTTAATGAGCTTTGTCCTGTTGTTGGACTCTGTTTCAGAATTCAAGTCTTTAACCAAAGTTCTGTTGCAGTAAAATTTCTTCATGCTGAACTCTAAACTCTCCTTAAACTGCAGACTAATTCAAAGATCCAAAGATGCGCCAGTGAGAGTTGGCTTTAACTGGATTCTTAAAGAATCACCATCAAACACACCTTCCAGAAGACATGGTGAGCCTTTTATCAAAATATGAGAATTCATTCACGTCAAATCTTGAGAGGCCCTGATAATTTTCGGGACTTTGTCTGCTGTGAGTTGAAGAGACTTTCTGTTAGGGTCAATATCTCCACAAACTAGCAACCAATTTTTGTTAAATGTGGAACAATGCAATGCTTCTGTAAGTGGGTGAAAACTGTACTTTTATATTCAATTGCATGAAAAGTCTGATTTCAAATTGGCCATCTCCTCTCCTTCCCCCAGGCTGCCAACAGTGAACGTGTGGGTGAAAATGATGAGAATGTGGAGCGAGGTAACTGGTCATCGAAGGCTGACTACCTGCTCTCGATAATTGGTTACGCCGTGGGTCTGGGCAATGTCTGTCGATTTCCGTTCCTGGCTTACAGAAATGGAGGAGGTACTGTAATTAAATTCAAAGTACAGGGCAAGGAATAGAAGGGTTAGATATTATCAGAAGATGCACAAGAAAACTCCTGCCCTTTCTCAAATAGTATCATGAGAACTTTCGCACTTTGCAAGAGGGTAGACAGGTTCAAATTTTAATCTGATAAATGGAATAGTTAGAAAACAAAAAAAAAACAAATAAACGAGTTAGTTACTTCACTGACAAACCTGGTAAATATTATCTAGACAGATCTTGCCTCCTGGATAGTTATAGGTCAACATTTTTGTGCTGGCATGCATAATCTTTAAATTCAAATCTTTCTTTGCTTCTTGGCCATTCCATATTCGTGTTAGAGAGAATACTTGAGCCAAATTGTGCTGTGGCAAGGCATCTGGAAGGTTCTTGTTTTGCAGTGGTAGTGTTCTACCTTTGAGTCAGGAGGTCTGGGGTAGGTCCCACTTGCTCTAGACATGTGTCATGTACCATGATACATACAAGCAGGTTAATCAAAAGTATCGATCCTGTGCATCAGTATTTCATGTGTAGAAAATGACCAAACAACATCTGCAATGGGTTTACTGAACTTTCAGGTTGATAATTATATAGATTGGGAATCTGGAACCTGAGCGAACAGGGGAAAGAATGGGATATCTCCTTAGCCATCAAAGTGAAGGATTGTGAAATAACGGAAAGGGAATATTCATTTAAATAGGTGAAGTTAAAGCCAAAACAAGTACAAAAGAAGAAATCAATAATGAAAAGAAGAATAGGATTCAGAGACAGAAAATGGAGAGACACAACAGAAAATAGTACCCATTATGGTGATCATAAGATAGTTCATACTGGGGCTGTGTCTTGAATTTCAGGTGAATGAAGATCTAGTGACCCGATCTAATGTTGCCCTGACAGCAAGCCTGGGTTAACTGCTTGTTATAGATTAGAAGCAGGCCCACATTGTTTTACTGGAAAGAATAAACAAGGTATTTAACCTTGCAGATAATGGACACAACTTCTGTGCTAATAGTGAGATTCTGAATCTCCAGCATCCCAGGAAGGTATATCAGGTATATCAGGTTGAGTATATCAGGTTGAAAACAACTTTGCTTTCAATTGTCCCTTTCATTAAGTCATACAGCCATACAGCACGGAAATAAACCTTTCGGTCCAACTAGTTCATGGCGACCATGTTCCCAAAGTCCCAACTAGTCCCACCTGCCTGTTGTAATTATCTGAATACCTTTTAAACGTTTTATTCCACATGAAAGAGATTGGGATCTCAAGGATATCCAAGCAGCATTTCCATCTGCATACAAGGCCTATGTCATTCATGTTGCAAAGGAGATAGGTTTCGAGAGGTGAAGAGTTCAAAGGAAGCCATTATAGGGTTGACTTGCAAGTTTTGCCCCCAAAAAAATCACTGAACATCGCAGACAGGGTCAGTTTGCGAGAATATGAAAGGGAGAGAGAGAGAGATGAGTGTCTTGTAGGAGTGTATTCCATTTAGTTGTTAACATGTTTTCAATAATTTTTACAAAAGACTTGCTAATTAAGGGACTTATGTATGTTTTACTCGTTTGATTTTGATGCAACTGGGGACTCATCAGCTGTTGAATGGAATTGGCAGAGGTGGATAAATATTTTCTGTTGATTTTAACACGCCCATCTCAGACGACTATACATCTTGCTGGCAAAGCAAATATTCATTCATAATGCAGTTGAAGAAGAGCCTGAATTTTTGTTGTTTTATATTGAGTTGCTGAGTAAACTTGTAATTACATCATTTAGTTGCTGTGTGGGTATGAACTGGTCTGTTAGCTCTTCAAACAGGATGCAGGGCACGTAGCTATTGCTGTAGCTATATTTCTTACATTGTTCGGGTGTACAACAAAGCACTTAAATAATGGCATTTAAATTTATTTCAGTGCGTTGAATGTATGAGCAGTGTATTGGTTCATAATTTTAACATAATTTTACTTCAACGTTTACCGTTAATTTAAATGCACATTCACCATTTCCCTTTACCCGCTGAAGTTGTTTGTCAATTTTTCTTACACATGATTGTTACCTGTTCGTATGTTTTTAAGCCAATTACATAGGTCTATTAATGAATTTTTTGATGTTAGTCACAATGCAATCCAGCTTTCATACTGAACATGTTTCTTGAGTAAAGTTGCATTATTTTGTAACAAGCAATCAAAAAACTGCATACATAAACCTGGTCACTCCAACACTTGTACAATCAAATATATTTTTTTCATTCCAATATTTTCCAGGCGCGTTCCTTATTCCCTACACTCTCATGCTGACACTCGCTGGGATCCCCATGTTTTTCTTGGAAACTTCCTTTGGGCAGTTTACCAGCCTTGGGCCCATTGCAGTGTGGAAAGCTGTGCCAATATTACAAGGTGAATATTTGTTGAACAAATGTTATATTATTTATTATAATAAATGATATATAAAAAATAATAATTGAAGTTACATGCAATCTGATTCATAGTACACTTTTAAAAAGTCCAATGATGAGATAGAAGTAACATGTGTAATGTTTTATTTTCTTGTAATTTTAGCCAGGTATTTGATGTAATATCAGTAGAATGCACAGTATTCCATTTAGTTGTTAACATGTTTTCAATAATTTTTGCAAAAGACTTGCTAATTAAGGGACTTATGTATGTTTTACTCATTTGATTTTGATGCAACTGGGGACTCATCAGCTGTTGAATGGAATTGGTAGAGGTGGATAAATATTTTCTGTTGATTTTAACACGCCCATCTCAGACAACTATACATCTTGCTGGCAAAGCAAGTATCTATTGGCCATCTCTCATTGGCAACCCCTGGTTTGTTAAGTTGGGAAGTGTATCCAATATTAAGCTAGTGAGAACAAACCTTTTGAGCTAAGCTTAATGCTGCAGAATTAGAAGTAGGAGAGCTAGTCAGGTGTCTCAATCTTTGAGGAAGGGTGAATGGAAGACCCACCAATTTGAGGTTGTTTAGAGGGTAAGAACATTACACACTGAGCCATGCATTGTACAGGGCATGAAACTGCAGGCTTTCTAAACCCTGGTCATCCTAATGTATCAGGTCTCTGTGTGCTGTACAACTCGGTGCCCTCGGCAATATTGATCACTTCATGCAATACCAACACTTTGCATAGAGAGATCAGGAAAGGAATAGGAATGTTAACTAGGAGGGGAAGTGATGCCACTGGATACCATTGCTCTATATGCACCTTGTTCATCTCACTTCCAAATGCTTTAATAAGGATGTGTCTGCTCACATGGGGTTTCTCTGCAAAATACTTTCTCAGTTATGAATTTTTTGAAAATTTTTGAAGTGCCTCTGAGGCTCTTCGAGATCGATTTTCTGCAGCCTCTCAACGATTGGATCTGTAAACTTGTGATGAAATGGCCAGACGTTCTCTGGAGCTTTTAAACCAAGAAATCTCTTGTAAATGGAACATTGTGGTATTTTATATGTAATACGCTGGTTTAAAAAAGTGTGGGTTGGGCCTAGACTGCCCAATGAATTGTGAAAAATATCAAAAAAAGAAATACTATTTCAGAGATTTGTATTTTACTGATTTGCTCAGTTAACCAGCTGAATCTACATGAAGTGATGTATTCAACACCAATAACTTATCTCATCTAACCTGTCTTCCTTCATTCCATTTTAAGGTGTGGGAATCACTATGGTGCTTTCATCAATATTTGCCACCATTTCTTATTCCTGCATCCTCGCCTACAGTCTGTACTACCTGTTTGTTTCCTTCCAATCACCCCTGCCGTGGGCAGACTGCTTCAGTTGGTGGGGAGCAGATGAAACATGCAGCAGGACTCCCAAAGGTACAGTGCTCACTTCTTCTGGGGACATTCGATGACTGTTCGTTGTTCATTTCTGTTTAAAAAGATAAGGGTGAAAATATTGCCAGTACTTTCACTGGCTATCTCCATTTTGATATTGCAGCAGAAAAGCTTGGATAACAGTCAGAAAATACATGAGTGAGTCATTGAGCTTTCAGGATAGTGGATAGTCTAAATCTGTAGATTTTTATTGAATGTGAAGAAAATCAGCTTGTGTGCCATGGTGTTCCTTACTGATAATGTTCTTTTTTCCCTTTAAACCTGTTTGCTTGTTTTTTGATTTTATTTTTTACGTTTTTGACTCTTCATTTCTTTTTTCACCTATTTGTCTCCCGCTTTCTACATTGTATCTATTTTGCATTTCACAGATTTATGAATTCTGCTCAGCCTTCTGAATCTCATCCTTGTTTGTATAAGATTCTTCCTTTCTGTTTTCCATCTTCTGGATGATGTTGTCACTTACTCTTTCAGTGTCTTGCAAACGTTTTCTATTTGCCTCTTTTTCTGATGCTTTGCATTTTAAAAATAAATTCATTTTAGTCTTCAAAATCTCTTGGAAATGAAGAAACCATCTTATTTCTTTCCAGGAGGGGGTACTTGGAAATGTGTGTTTATGACAAACAGTTAAGTGCTTACACCCGGATTGATTTAAAAACAATTCCGATATATATATATTCAGAACATCTGCGGGGTTCAAGTTCTAGTGTAAATATTGGAATGTACTGAACACAAACTATCTCATATAATGTTTACGGTCTGCTGATTTTGCTCGCGTGGGCAGTATTGCTAGGAGCGTAACTTAGCCAAATCAATAAAGATTCCTGATTGTTACATCCACTGGGCCTTGCTAGAACCAACATCCCAGAAAGAATGTTAATAATGATTCGTATAGAATAATTTTAAAAAATTAAAATCTATTACTTCCTTAATGAGATTGGATTTCCTATAATATGACTACCTAAACTGTAGACAAAATCTTGGAAACACTATTAGGAATACAATAAAGTAAAAAGGGTTAGGCTGATTCAGTCAGAGTGAAATTATGGTCTTAATTATATGATTAGAAATGACTGCTTTGTTCTTAATGAAGTTTAATTTTATGCAATCTAGGTCCACTCTGCAATCTCACTCTGGACGATGGATATTTTGAAATTGTTAATACAACATGGCTACAGAAAAACAATGAAACTTGTCCAAATGGATCAAAAATTTCCATTTCTCACCAAGGCCCGAGTGAGCAATACTGGGAGTAAGTACATTGTTGCAGAGACCTGTACCTATAACCTGCACAGCTGGGCCAGCAACTCCTCTTGGGACAGTTAGTAGGTGAATGTCCTATGAAACGAAGAACAAAGAACAATACAGCACAGGAAAAGGACCTTTGGCCCTCCAAGCCTGTACAGACACATTTTACTCTTGCATACTAAAACTGTCTTCGATTACAGGACCCGTATCCCTCAATTCCTTTCATATTCACGGATTCATCCATGTGTTTCTTGAATGCTGCTGTTGTGTCTGCTTCCACAATATCACCTGGCAGCGCGTTCCAGGCACACAAAACTTGCCTTGCACATATCTTTTAAACTTTGCCCGCAACCCTGCACCTTGAACCTGTGTCCCCTAGTAATTGACCCCTCTACCCTGGGAAGAAGCTTCAAATTTTCCACTCTATCCATGCCATTCACAACCTTACAAACTTCTATTAGGTCACCCTTCAACCTCCTACATTCCAGTGAAAACAAACCCAGTCCATCCAACCTTTCTTTATAGCTAAAATCTCACATACCAGGCAACATCCTGGTAAACCTTTTCTGTATCCTCTCCAAAGCATCCACATCCTTCTGGTAGTTTGGTGACCTGAAATGTATGCAATACTCCAAGTGAGGTCTAACTAAAGCTCTATAAAGCTGCAGCATAACTTGTCTATCCTTACACTCAATGCCTCTTCCACTGAAGGCAAGCATGCCATAGATCTTTTTTACTACTTTATCTACCTGCACTGCCACCTTCAGTGATCTGTGGACCTGTGCACCCAGCTCCCTCTGCATATCAATACTCCTAAGGGTTCTCTGTATAATTTCCATCTGTACTTGACCTTTCAAAATGCATCATCTCACATTTGTCTGCATTAAACTCCATCTGCCATTTTTCTGCCCATGCCTCCAACTGATCTATACATTGCTGTATCCTCTGACAATCCTCTTCACTGTCTGCAACTCCACCAATTTTTGTATTGTGTGCAAACTTACTAATTAGACCAGCTACATTTCATTCCAAATCATTTATGTAGACCACGAACAGCAGAGGTCCCAGCACTGATACCTGTAGAACACCACTAGTCATCCATTCCAAAAAGGATCCTTCCACAGCTACCCTCTGTCTCCTATGACAAAGCCAGTTTTGTATCCACCTTGTCAGCTCATCCCTGATACCATGTGACTTCACCTTTTGTACCATCTGCTATGAAGGACCTTGTCAAAGGCTTTACTGAAGTCCACGTAGACAACATCATCCACTTTTCCCTCATCAATTATCTTCCTCACCTCCTCAAAAAACTCGATCATGTTTGTGAGGCACAACCTCCCCCGCACAAAACCATGCTGTCAATCGCTAAAAGTCCATTTGCTTCTACATGTGCATAGATCTTGTCCCTGAGAATGTTTTCAAATGATTTCCCTACCACTGACGTGAGGCTCACAGGCCTGTAATTTACTGGATTATCCTTGCTACCCTTCTTAAACAATGGGATAATATTGTCTATTCTCCTGTGTTCTGGGACCTCAACTGCGGCTAAAGAGGATACAAAGATGTCTGTCAATGGTCTAGCAATTGTTCTCTTGCCTCCCTCAATATTCTGGGTTAGATCCCATCAGGACATGAGGGCTTATGTATCTTAATACTTTTTAAGACACAACACCTGTTCCTATTTATTAGGAACTTGGCTTAGAAATTTGACACTCCCTTTCCTGACAACATCCTTAATCAATTATTTCTGTTTGGTCAATACCGACACGAAGTATTCGTTTAAGACCTCACCCATCTCTTCTGGTTCCACACATTGATTGTCTCCTTTGTTCTTGAGTGGGCCAACCCTTTCCCTGTCTACTTTCTTGCTTATACGTGTAAAAAGCCTTGAGCTTCTCCTTAATCCTGTTTGCTAATAACTTTTCATGACCCTCTTTATCACTTCTAATTCCTTGTTTAAGTCATTTCCTACTTTCCTTTTATACTTCAGCAGCTTTGTCAGTTTCCATACTCCTAGACCTTATGTATGCTTCCTTTTACTTTCTGGCCGAGGGCATAACACCCTGGTCATCCAAGATTCACGTAAATTGCTATACTTATCCTTCATTCTTACAGCACCGTGCCTCTCCTGAACTCTTATCAACTGTTGTTTGAAATACTCCCACATATCTGATTTAGATTTACCTTCAAATAGCTGGTCCCAATCATAATTCTCCAGATCCTGCCTAATATGGTTGTCGTTTGCCTTGTCCCATTTTAATACCTTCACCCGAGGACTGCTGTTATCCCAATCAATGGATATTTTAAAACTCACAGTATTATGGTCACTACTCCCGAAATGCTCCCCCACTGAAACTTCACTCACCTGGCCAGGCTCATTCCCCAAAACCAGGTCCAGCATAACCGCTTCCCTGGTTAGACTATTGAATGTTTAATGGGCATAAAATTGAGATATGCAATGGTAGAGATGCATTTTACATCCTAGACCTGTTGCAAAATAACATCACATCAGCGGCCCTTTCATTAGCTCACTCCCTCCTGGATGCTTATATTCTAGGATTATTAGTCAGTTATGCAGCAAAACCTACATTGACCACTTTTATCCATTTTTATCCATTAATTAAAATGATTCATCTTGAAATCAGATGATTCCTTTTATCCCTTATTCAGTAGACCTGGGAATTGTATTGAGAGGATTCCATTGTTATTAAAATTCTGATGGAGATCCACTTTCAGAAGTCCTGCCCTAGAATACAGCACCTACCATTTTCATACTGGGAGTTGGGGGCGTGCGTGTTGGGCAGAGGGTGATTAATGGGGAGTGATTGCAATTTTTTATAGGCATGGTTCATGGAGATGACAGCACTTGTGAAGGTGCAGCTGCCTCAGGCTGAAATGATTTTCACTCATGGACTGACCAAAACACAACTTCTGCACTTTTACTCAGGGAAATTGATGAGTATCCTTGGAGAGGCGAATTAACCTTTTAGATATGGTCCCTAGACACTTTTGGCGAGGTTAGGTGCACTTTTGGAGAGGTAACTGCCCTTTAGAAGTGTTGAAACTAGACTTAAATGTGGGAAAGAAATGCATAAGCTCTTTGAAACTGTCAACAGACCTTTCAAAAGGATACATCAACTTGACTGTCAAGAAAACTCATGCCCTGGGAACAGTTGAAAGAAAACTATTTCTAGTGCTTAACAAAAACAAAAGTACTTGCTATTTCACTCTTGACATAAGATTGAGGGCTATCATAACAGAATTAGTGCTGATTTCACAACCGTTCATTATCACAATGGGATGCCCAACAATTCACAATATGATTGACTGAACAAAGTGGTCAATGAAATTAGTCTATGAATTCAAGAGTTTGTTTTCATAAGGGATGAAATGCATTAAAATGCATTCTCAATGAAGGTATTTCTTTTGAAATAGTGATTAAATTAATGGACAATGAAAACTGTCCTTAATCTTAGCAAGGGTACTGAGTTCTGCCCTTGGTGAATGTTGGATAAGTTGGCATGGCAGGTGTAAACAGAAGACATGTGTTGGTGTCACAGAGGGTATAAGTGACCATGGGGATAGACAAAAGGCTGAAGGCTGATGTGTTATGGGGAATAGTTTGGCATGGGGGAGAATAAGAAGCCATGGGCTTGGTAGATAGCATAAGATAGCATGTGTTGGCATGGATAGGGCATGGAGAGTAAACTGGAGTGGAGGGGTGTGAGATGAGATGGCTGGGGATCTCTTTTTTAGTTTATTGTTTTTAACTCATTATTCAACAAAATACCAGTATACAAAAGCCAGATGTTTGTCTAGTCTGTCTCTGTAGCAACAGCCTCTGAATTACAACACAGAACATAGAAGTCTACAGCACAGGAATGGGCTGTTTGGCCCATGATATTGTGCCAAAAATGATGCCAAATGAAACAAATCCCTTCTGCCTGCCTTTGGTCCATATCCCTCCATTTCTTAAATATTCATGAGCTTATCTAAATGTCCCTTAAATGCCCGTATCATATTTATCTCCACCACCTCCCCTGGCAGTGCATTCCAGATTCCCACCACTCTCTGTGTAAAAAACTTTCCCCTCACATCTCCTTTGAACTTTTCCCCTCTCACCTTAAATGCATGGCCCCTAGTATTAGACGTTTCAACTCCAGGAGAAAGATTCTGACCATCAACCCTATCTATGCATCTCATAATTTTATAAACTTCTATGCAGTCTCCCCTCAGCCTCCACCACTCAAGAGAAAAACAACCCGAGTTTTTCTAGCCTCTCCTTATAGTTCATACCCTCTGATCCAGGCAGCATCCTGGTAAACCTCTTCTGCACCCTCTCTAAAGCCTCCACATCCTGCCATGTGGCAACCAGAATTGAACACAATAGTTGGCAAATGTGGTCTAATCAAAGTCTTATAAAGCTGCAACATGGCATCCTGACTCTTGTACTCAATTCCCCAACCAATAAAGGCAAGCATGCCATATGCCTTCTTTACTACCCTATCTACACGCGTGGCCACTTTCAGGGAACTATGGACTTGAACCTCAAGATCATTATGTACATCAGTGCTGTTCAAATCCCTGACATTAACCGTATACTTTTCCTCAACATTTGACCTCCCAAAGTGCAACACCGCATACTTAACCATATTAAACTCCATCTGCCATCTCTCTGCCCATTTCTGCAACTGATCTGTATTTCACTGTATCCTTTGACAACTGGTTTACACTATCCACAACTTCTCTGATTTCTGTATCATCTGCAAACTCACTAATCCACCCATCTACATTTTCATTTAAGTCATTTATATATATCACAAGCAGCAGCGGTCCCAGTATGGATACCTGTGGAACATCACTAGTCATGGACCTCCAGCCTGAAAAACACCCTGCCACCACTACCCTCTGTCTTCTATGGGCAAGCCAATTCTGAATCCATGTGGCCAAGTCACCGTGGATCCCATGTGTCTTAATCTTCTGGATGAGCCTACTATTAGAGACCTTGTTAGAATCCTTACTAAAATCCATGCAGACAATATTCACTGCTCTACCTTCATCGATCACCTTAAACACCTCCTTAAAAAATTCAATAAAGTTAGTAAGACCTGCCGTGCACAGAGCCATATTGTCTGTCCCTTATTAGGCCAGCTTTTCCAAATGTGCATAAACCCTATCCCTAAGAATTCTCTCCAATAGCTTCCCAACCACCAATGTAAGACACACCAGCCTATAGTTTCCTGGATTATCCCTATTTCCCTTCTTGAACTGTGAAACAACATTAGCTACTTTCCAGTCCTCTGGGACCTTGCCAGTGGCTAGTGTGTATACAAAGATTTTGGTCAAGGCCCCAGCAATCTCCTTTCTTGTCTCTCTCAATAACCGGAGGTAGATACCATCAGGTCCTGGGGATGTGTCCACCTTCAAGAGATCCAACTCCACTTCTTTTTTGATCTTAAAATGCCCTAACATTTTAGCATACTCCATCCTCCATCTCACCATCCTCCATATCCTTCTCCTGGGTGAATACCAATACGAAGTGCTCATTTACGATCTCACCCACATTCTCTGCCTCCAAGCACAAGTTCCCTCCTTTATCCTTGAGTGGTCCTACCTTCTCCCTCATTATCCTCTTGTTTTTAATACATCTATAGAATGCCTTGGGATTCTCTTTAACCCTACTTGCTCATGTCATTTTGTGGCCCCTTCTTGCTCTCCTAATTCCCTGCTTCCCTCATATTCCTCACAGGCCCTGTCCAATTTTAGCATCCTAAATCTTACATATGCTTCTTTTTCCCTTTTGACTAAATCCACAACCTCCCTCGTTATCCAAGGGTCCCTTACCTTGCCACCTTTGTCCTTCCTCCTTACAGGAACATGCTAGTCCTGAACTCTGATTAGCAGGTCTTCAAACAATTCCCACATGTCAAATGTGGACTTGCCTAATAACAGCTCCTCCCAATTAACATTCCCTAGCTCCTGCCTAATACTGACATAATTTGCCCTCCCCTAATTTAGTACCTTCCTGCAAGGTCCTGACTTATCCTTGTTCATAGCTATCTTAAAACTTAAGGAGGTGTAGTCACTGTTTCCAGAATGCTCTCCCACTGAACAGTCAGTCAATATTAGAGAAGTTAAAGTCACCCACTATGACAACTCCGTTTTTATTGCACCTTTCCATAATTTGCCTACATATTTGTTCCTGAATCTCTTGGTGGCTGTTGGGGGAGCCTATGGTATAATCCTAGCAGATTGATTGCACCCATCTTATTATTGAGCTCTGTGCATACTGCCTCAGTTGACGAGCCCTCAGCATATCGTCTCCGAGTGCAGATGTAACATTCTCCCTGGTTAGCAAACTAACATCTCCACCTCTTTTGCCTTCCTCGCTATCTTGTCTAAGACAATGACACCTTGGAATGTTGAATGGCTAGTCTTGTCCCTCTCTCATCCAATTCTCATCCAATTGGCCACAACATCATAGTCCCATTTACTGATCCAGGCTCTAAGCTCATCTGCCTTACCTATAATACTCCTTGCATTGAAATAAACACACTTCAGCCCATTAGTACTATGCTGTTCATTTACCTGTCTCTGCCTTTCCTTTCTTTCTGATTTTCTGGTGCTAACATCTACCTTCCCCTCAATTTCTTTATTTGCTGACCTGATTCCCAACCCCCTGCCACTCTGGTTTAAACCCTCCCGACTAACACTCGTGACCCTCCCTGCGAGGATATTGGTTCTGCTCCAGTTTAGGTGCAACCTGTCCCTCTTGTACAGGTCACCCCTTCCCCAGAAGAGGTCCCAATGTTCCAAAAATCTGAAATTCTGCCCCCTGCACCAGCTCCTTAGCCATGCATTCATCGCTCCTATCTTTCTGTTCCTTGCCTCACCAGCACATGGCACAAGTAGTAACCCAAAGATTACTACCCTCGAGATCCTGCTCTTCAGCCTCTTTCCTAACTTCCTGTCCTCATTCCTCAGGACCTCATCCCTCTTTCTTTCAATGTCGTTAGTACCAATGTGCACCACGACCTCTGGCTGCTCACCCTCTTCCTTGAGAATTTCGTGCAACCGCTCAGAGACCCTGGCATCGGGGAAGCAACACACTATCCTGGAGTCTCAAACGTGGCCACGGAACTGCCTGTCTGTGCCCCTAACTAACGGGTCTCTGACCACCATCGCTCTCTTGGATCTTGCCCGACCCTGCTTGACAGCAGAGCCTGTTGTGATGCCACAGGCCCGTTCCTGGGGTCGCCCATTTTCATATGCTCCACTACACACCATCAGTTTCCACCCCCTGGCCTCTTCCCCTTCCCCCAGAATGGAAATCTGAACCCCTAGAGTATTTACTTGTCCTGACCCTGCACTCCTTGATGATACTATGGCTTTAAGAGATTATTTTGTTCTGTATTATTTTGAGGATAGGTTTTATGACAGAGGTCTCTTGAAAACTCATAAAGTAAACAGCTTGTGAAGCCTTGTTTTTTTTTAAACATTGGAACGATAGAAGCAGCTTAAATGTTTATGGTCAAGCTCTCACAGACCCAGGGTTTTTAGTTTCTTAGTTTTATGGTAGCAGTTGTTGCTGGTTCTGTTGCTGCAGTACATCTCTCCCTGCTACATTCTCTCAGAGTTCTCTTGATGGTTTTTTCCTCCTGGGCTGCTGGAGTTGCATGTGAAACAACCTGTTTTCTGAATTTGCCTTTTGCCAATGGTGTGTTTATCGGATGTTGCTATATTGGAACAGTGACTGTTTAGTAGCTAACTAATCTGTTGTTCTGTTAAGTGTTCAAATAGAGCTTCAACTAAGCTGATTCTTTTGTCTTTTTCTTTTGTTGTATTTTAACTACAGTACATAAATAAATTGTGTTTTGCTTAGCGTTGAGTAGTTTGACCAATCAATTGCATCAGCAACATAATACCTTTAAATTAAGATAAAATTTAGGGTCTAGGCTACCTTCTTAATATATTTTGAGGGGGTTTGATCTGTTCGAGGCCACAGTGACTAAGTACACTGATAGTTTCAACAGTGCAATGTATGGCAGTTAATGAAGCATTAACAGGAACCCATTAAATCAAGTCAGTTCTCCAGGGAATCTCATCAACACTCACTGTTTAAACAAAATCACATCTTTAGAAAGTCAAGAGACACAGAGAAAGTATAAAAGTATATGAAGTTTAATCTCAATTCAACATATTAATTCACTTCTAAATGTTGAATTGCTTCTCTTTAAATTACTTACCTTACAAATCTGTTTTTATTTGACTGTCCATTGTTGTATATTTAAACTGTCATTGTGTGTATTAAATATTATCCTGATCCAAAATATTTTCTGTTGTCATTTTCTTCAGTAAAGTGGTTTTACAGCGTTCCAGTTCAATGGATGAGACTGGGGACATAGTCTGGTATTTAGCTCTCTGTCTGCTTCTGGTCCGACTGACAGTTGGAGCAGCCTTATCAAAAGGAATCAAATCATCAGGAAAGGTAAGTGATTGGTGATGAATAGAGTTATAACTAGTGACAAAGTACAGACTTCTGAAACTAGAATTTATAAATCATTTGTGAAGTGGCTGGTCTATCTCCCAGGTGATGTTAACAGGGGATGTCTGTTTAGGGAGTGGGAGATCCATAATTCATCAACACCTCAGGCCTGAGGGAGATCTGAAGATCTTTCTCCTGAGAGGAAGAACAGCAGCAATTCCCCCAAATCCCTGTAATGTCACCCTCATTCTAAAGGTTTCTGTCAGGGGCTCTGGGTTGTAATTCCAATTTTTCTGGGAGACTGGGCAGGCCTGGGGCAAGTGATTGAACAGATTAGGGCCAGGGTTTTATTTGAGTGAAATAAGTTTTGTCTGGACAATGAGAATGGGAAAGAAACCTGAGGTGTAAAAGTGATGGATGAAATATCTTCGTCACACTCTGCTCTATTTTTCTATTTAAATTTGATACTTTCCTGAATATGAGAAATAAATGAGTTATAAATTAAATCCAATCCTACTTGTTTTCCATTCTTTTGGACCCAGTACTGCAAATGTTGTACCAGCAATGCAAGAATATCTAACATGTTTTTCTCCATGGTCAGGTGGTTTATTTCACTGCGACGTTTCCGTATGTGGCTTTGACCATACTCCTGATCCGAGGGGTTACCCTGGAGGGAGCCTCAAACGGTATTGAATTCTACATCGGAAGCCAGTCAGACTTCTCCAAACTGGCTGATGCTGAGGTAAATAGAACAAAGTCAATGATTGAATTTCAAGAGTAATTCTTAGCCATTGTATTTGGTTTTTCAGTCTTGTTTAGTTTGCTGTTTAACATAACCTTTTTAAGCGTGCAATGTTGATTTTTGGGCCATATTTAAACACATAAAACACCGTTTCAATCATTCTCATTACTATTTGGATGGGCATTTCTTTAAAAAAAAAACTTTTCACAACTTGTTTCAACAGATGGGAAATATGGAATTAGATGGTAAGGTAAAGTTGCCATTGTCTTGCCAGCCCTGAAGCTGGTCTCTCACTTGAGAGAGATGACTGGTGGTGGTTTAACCTGAGGGTCACCATGCTCCAGGTGAGGGGAAGGGCTGAGAAACAGAGTCTTTCATGGTAACTTCAGTCAGCGTGGGAATCAAACACACACTATTGATGTCACTCTATATTGCAAATCAGCTATCTTGCCAACTGAGCTAACTGACCACCAATTCAATGGCAAGCTATGATAGAATGGGATGGTACAATATAGGCTGGGATATGAAGGACAGGACGGAACGGATGTGATGGACTCGGACAGAGGAGGATGGGATGAGCTGGAACTGATTGAAGTAAGTTGATGCAACATTGGATAGGGAGGAATGGGATGACATGGAATTAATTGAGCAATAAATCAGTGATGATGGGACTAGTAGGACTGGATGGATGAGATATTATGAAGTAGTGAAGGGAGGAATCAGGCGAGCTTGGTTTGGATGAGATGACATTTAATAGAATGGACTGAGACAGAGTGGAATGGCAAACAATTCCTGACATTTTTTGTAACATGTTTAGTTTTAACAACTAGTAACAAATTCATTCAAAAAACTATTGCATAATTAGCTTATCAATCTATGTGTATAGGCAAATTAATAGCAATATTGTGGTTATCAGCCACATTGTGACTTAGTGGCATGTCAATAGCAATCACAATTACAGAAAAGTGTTGCTATGGAAAAGAACAAGAGTCCACTACACCACAGTAATTAAACTTGGTCTTCAATTTTCATGTAGCAGTGAAAAGCAATAATCTTTCAAGGGAGAATTTGCCAGCAAATATTAGTCTGGAAAACAAAATGATAGCTCTCATTTCAATGGAGATTTTATTGATTAAAGAAGCTTCATTCTCTCTCCTTATTGTTGACCTGTGCTGCTAACAAAGTTCCTCTTTGTTAATGTAGTTTTGCCTTCCATTGTTGAATGAGTTCAAGTAAAATCTCCTACTGCTCATTTGTTCTACCTCCTATTTCCTAGGTTTGGAAAGATGCTGCAACACAAATATTCTTTTCTATCGCTGTATCCATGGGAGGCTTAACAGCACTTTCATCTTATAACAAATTCCACAACAACTGTTACACAGATACCTTCATTGTCTGCGTTGCTAATTGTGCTACAAGTGTGTTTGCTGGGTTTGTCATCTTCTCTGTCCTTGGACACATGGGTCATGTGCAAGACAAACCTGTCTCAGAGGTTGCGCAGTCAGGTAAACTAGGTCTTTTCATTAGATCTGAAATTATAATTCTTCTAGTCTGCAGACCCAATAATCACTCATTGGGATTCGAAGCAGTTATCCTGGTGAAAAATGACTTCAAGTTCTGAAATTCTATGCGGTGAAACAGTGGTATGTCAGTCAAGGATTGATGATGGATTGTAAACTGAAAGGTTTTGAGGGGGTCTAATAAGTTAGTTCAACTTTCTCCATTAAATGCAAGAACTTTGAATCAGCACAGCATATTGATCACAGTACAATTCATTCATTCAGAAAAAATAATACAGTGTAGGGCCTTGAATTTTCAGTGATGTTTCCAATTTGCTACCACAACATTTGTCTGAGAACTTATGTTACAGCAGAAAAAACAAAAGACTTGGATTTTTTTTTGTCTTTTATAATCACTGGGCATCTCAAGGCAATTTACTTCCAATGAATCACTATTGAGGTATATTTGCTTTTGTAATGTAATGTGGTTGTCAATTTGCTCACAGCAAGCTTCCACAAAGGGAACAATGATAATGACCAGATTTTGTGATGTTGATTCAAGGATAAATACTGTCCAGTACTGCAGGAGAAAACCCACTGCTCTTCTCCAAAATTGTGCCATGGGATCTTTGTGTCCTTCTGAGAGACCAGACGCAATCTTGGTTTGATGTCTCATCCTAAAGACAACAGAGTTGATAATATGTCATTAAAGTTTCAAGCCTTGTAGATGTCAAGCCACACCCTTCACAGACTGATGCAGTCCCCCATCATTGAGCACTTTGTATAATCTGTGGGTATAAGTTCCATCCCTGCATGCCTGTTTTAGAAACCTCATTGTAAAACCAAAACTCTGCATAAATGGATCCCTGCCTGGTTTCCGACCATTAGAATAGCAAGCTGCTCAAAGCATTTTTGAATCCTAGTTGCAGGAGATGGAGACGACCCAATTTTCTAGTGTGATGTTGCTTAGCTTGAAGAATGAAAAAACAATTCACATAGCAAATGCTGAACCAAATAGGGTTGATTTTGACAATTTAGATTGTAATTTAATTTTTTAAAAGTTATGTCAGGTTATCGTTTGTCTGTTTTAAACACCATTAATTTTACAGTACTAATTGTACCTACTTTTTAGGTATTGGTTTGGCTTTTGTTGTCTATCCAGAGGCTCTGGCGCAGTTACCGTGGGCACCTTTATGGTCCATTTTATTTTTCTTCATGCTGCTTACTCTGGGACTGGACAGTCAGTTCGCCAACTTTGGTGAGTATCTTTATAATCCATCTTGATCAAACTTAAAGGCAAATGTTCTTTTTCCCAGTTCTTTCATGTAATTGGTTCACAGGATTTTATTCTCTCAGCCCTTGAAAGAACTTTAAAATAAAATAAGATATCGTGAATATCTAGTTTATTAACGCATATATTTTAGAAATACTGTAAGTTGCCTTATGTGGAATGGAATTTTTAAAAATGGAGTTAACATCCTGACTGAGAAGTTGGTTAAAAATTAACAAGATGATTACAAGTCAGGGGGTGTTTCCTGAGTTTATTTTACAAAATCAAAGTTATTGGGAAACAAAAACAGAGATTGCTGGAAAAGCTCAGCAGGTCTGGCAGCAGCTGTGAAGGAAAAAACAGAGTT